ATTATTTCATTTAAGTCTCTTTACCCTAAATAGTTATCTTCCCTAAGAGCAAGGATATTCTCTTACATTTCATAAATTCAGGAAATTTTACATTTATCCAAATCTATTATCTCATTTATTGTCTGTATTATATTCCACTAATTTTCCAAATATTGTCCTTTTCACTTGACTCAGGATCTCACATTACATTTCTCTTTACTTTAATCTGAAAAGTTCCTCAGCCTTTCTTTGGATTTTATGGCTGGTATTTTTGAAGAATACTGGCCACTTTTATAGAATGTCCTTCAATTAGAGTATATTTGTAGGTTCTTCCAGATTAAACTCAGGCTATACATTTTTGGTAGGATTATTGCATTGGTGACCTATCTTTCTCAGTGTATTATTTACGGAGGCACATAATGTCATTCTGTCCCATTATTAGTGTTGTTACCTTTGATCACTTGGTTTGGGTGGTGTTTGCCAGGTTATTCCATTGTATTTTTTTTCTTTGTAATTAACATTTAATCTGTAAGGTAGTCTATTTTTCTTGGCCAGTCTTGCCAGAAATCCTATTATATATTTGTTTCTGTTTTATTTATTCTGCCTTTGTTTTTTACTTTATTCTACTTTTTGAGGTCTCGGTTTGCTATTCTTCTTCTAACTTCTTGAAATAAATGTTTAGGTGATTCACTTTAAGAATTTATTTTTTCTATTTGCATTTAAGGCCATAGATTTTCCTCTAAATGTGGCTTTAGTTGCATCCTACACGTTTTGGTAAGAGGGGTAGAGAGAGCCCAGGGGATATAGGACCTTATAGAGCATTATAAGAATCTTTTTTTCCTAAATGTGATGGGAAACTATTAGAGGCATTTGAGAGCAAAAGTTATGTGTTGTCACTAAGATATGATGTGTTTAGTGGAACAAGAAAGAGAGCAGGAGACCAATTTGAGAGTTACAGCAGTAGTATAACAATGGTAGCTTAGACTGTAATAGAAGTGGTGCTGATAAATGATTATGTCATTATATATATATTAAAGAACAAGTTGACCATGCTTGCTAATAGACTGTAAGTTGAGTAAGAAGAAAAAAACTAGGCTTTTGGCTTAACCTATTGGTAAAAGATGGTTGCATTTACTGAGATGGGTTAAGCTGGAGTATGAATGAATTTAAAACGGGATTTGAAAGTTCTCTTCGGACATGTTATTGTTGAGGTACTTATTATATATTTACATGAAGATTTCAACTAGGCAATTAGGTGATAAATATGGAGCTTAGGGGTAAGATAAAAGCTAGAAGTATAGACATCAAAGGACACAATAAAGTGAAAATGCAACCTGTGGAATAGGAAAAAATATTTTGTAAGTCACGTATCTGATCAGGGGTTAATATCCAGAATATATAAAGAACTCCTACCAAAAACAAAAAAAAAACCAACTCAATTTTAAAAATGAGAAAAGGACTTGAATAGATATTTCTTCAAAAAAGATATGTAAATGACCAGCAAACACATGAAACTATGTTCAACATCACTAGCCACTGGGGAAATGCAAATCCAAACCACAGTGAAATATCACCTCACACCCATTAGGATGGTTACAGTCAAAAAACAAGTATAATAAGTATTGGTGAGGCAGTGGAGAAACTGAAACCCTTGTGCTGGTGGGAGTGTAACATGGTTCAGCCACTGTGGGAAAAGAGTATGGTGGTTCCTCAAAAAATTATAACTAGAATTACCAACTTAAACTTAAACAGATACTTGTACACACATGTTCTTAGCAGCATTACATACAGTAGCCAAAAGGTGGAAGCAATCTAGGTTTCATCAACAAACAAATGGAGAAACAAAATGTGGTGTGGTGGTCGTGTGTGTGTGTGTGTGTGTGTGTGTAATCCTGACACATGCTGCAACATGAATGAACCTTGAGGACATTATGCTAAGTGAAATAAGTCAGTCACATTCAGAAAAACAACAACAAATACCATATGACTCCAGTGATATGAGGTATCTAGAGTAGTCAAATCCATAGAAACAGAAAGTAGAATGGTGGTTGCCAGGAACTGGAAGAGGGAAGAATAGGGAGTTATTAATGGGTACAGAGTTTCAGTTCTGCAAGGTGAAAAAGTTCTGGAGATTGGTTGCACAACAGTGTGCACATACTTAACATTACTGCACTAAACACTTAAAAGTGGGTAAGATAGTAAATTTTATGTTATGTGTATTTTATCATAATTAAAAAAATTTTTTAGAGGTATAAATTTAAGACTTAGCATTGTATTATTGGTATTTAAGCCAGACTGCTATTAAGGGAAAGAGTGTAGATTGAGGGCTGGCCAGAGCCTGAGTTCTGGGACATTCCAACATTTAGAGGTCAGGAAGTGGAGGAGAATTCATTAAGGGGAACTGAATATAAGTAGAGCGGTAGGAGGATAAACAGGAGAATATGGTATACAGGAAGCAAAGGGATTGATCAGTTGTGTCAGATGCTACTAATGAGTCAAATAGAGTGTTGACTGGCATTTGAGCACTGATTTTGGTAAAGTAATTTTGTTAGTTACTTTAGCTAGAAATGTTTCAACAGAGCTATGGGAGTTGAAATATTTATTGGAGTGGATTACAGAGAAAATGACTCACATACAAAGTCATTTGATATAACACAGAGTCAGGGAAAGGATGGTCTTTTCAGTAAGTGGTGCTGATATCTATTGAAAAATAAGAATCTTGATTTCTACCTCACACTAGGTGGATTATAGATCTAAATATGAAAGGTAAAATAGTAAAAGCTTCTGGAAGATTATATGAGTATATTTTTATGAACTTGGGATTAGACTATCTTAAAATTAAGAATTTCTGTTTATCAAAATATAGTATTAAGAGAGCGAAAGGGCCAGCCCCAGAGTGGGAAAAGATACTTGCATTATGTAGTTGGTTATATCCAGAATAAATTAAGAATTCCTACAAATCAAAAAGAAAAATACAACCCAGAAACTACCCAGATGTCCCTCAACTGGAGAATGGATAAACAAAACATGGTTATCTGTACAATAAAATATAACTCAGCCATAAAAAGAAATGAAGTACTGATATGTGCTACAGCATCACTGAACCTTGAAAACATACTGAGTGAGAACAGACACAAAAGGTCACATATTGTATGATTTCGTGCTTATGAAATTTCTTGACAAATTCAGAGACATAAAGCAGATTGATGGTTGCTGGGGGTGGGGCGGGGAGGAGAATAGAACATGATCATGGGTGTGAGGTTTCTTTCTGGCATGATGAAAATATTCTGGAATTAGGGATCGGATGGTTGCACAACAGTGGGAATACACTATAAGTTACTGAATTGTATGCTTCAAAATGGTTAAAATGGTGGATTTTGTATGTATTTTATTGCCCAAAAAATTAATAAAAATGGACGAAACACCTGCATAGGCAATTTATTAAAGAAGATATCCAGTTGGCCAATAAACATATGGCAAAGTATTCAGCCTGAAAAATTACAAATTAAACCACAATCCAATATCACAACACATCTGCCAGGATGCTTAGAAGAAGACTGACAATTACAAGTGTTGCTGAGGATATGAAGAACAGGAACTCTTTTAGAGTTTGATGGAATTGTAAATTAGAACACTGTTGCATAGTGTCAACTGAAGCTGAACAAATGCATATCATCTGATGCAGTAATTTCACACCTAGAAGAAAGGAGTCCTGTTTCCACCAAAAGAAATGTGCATGGATGTTGATAGCAGTACTAACCATAATAGCCAACAACTGGAAACAACCCAAATGATCATCATTAGGAAAATGGAAAAATAAATTGCGTTAGCACAGAATGCTTTATGTAGCTGTTGGTCTCAAACAGTTCAATGGAAGGCTGTATTAGTTTGGATATAGGTTTGGCTGTATGTGACAGAGACCCCCAAATAATTGTAGTTTAAACTATATAGAGGGTTAATTTTCTCTTTCATTAAAGTCCAGGCTGGAGTGGCAACTCTGTTCTGCAAAATCATCTGTGACAGACATGACATCAAATGCACATTGCAGCTGGCTTTGCTGAGGAATCAGAAGAATAACAGATATAGGGTGTGGGCAAGCTTACTCTTAAAGTTCTCAGGACTTCCCTGGTGGTGCAGTGGTTAAGAATCCGCCTGCCAATGCAGGGTACACGGGTTCGATCCCTGGTCTGGGAAGATCCCACATGCCGCAGAGCAGCTAAGCCCGTGCGCCACAGCTACTGAGCCTGCGCTCTAGAGCCCGTGAGCCACAACTGCTGAGCCCGCATTCCACAACTACTGAAGCCCACACACCTAGAGCTTGTGCTCTGCAACAAGAGAAGCCACCGAAATGAGAAGTATGTGCACTGCAACAAAGGGTAGCCCCCGCTCACCACAACTAGAGAAAGCCCATGGCAGTAACGAAGACCAAGGCAGCCAAAAATAAAATTTTTTTAAAATTAAAAAACTTCTCAGATGCTACTACATAACACTTCTGCATTTCTTTAGGCAGAATCCAGTTACATGGCATATTCTGCTGCAAAGGGTCCTGGGAAGTGCAATGTTTATATTGGGCAGCCTGTTCTCAACTAAAAACCAAGGGTTCAATCAGTGTACAAAAGGGGAATAATAGATGTTTGGGGACAACTAGCAGATATCACATAATCCTTTGGCCTGGTGGAGAGTGTTAAAATATACAGACTCGTAGACCCTGATTCAGGTGATCTAGAATGTTTTGTAAACATCCATAATTGCAACAAATTCCCAAGGTGATTCTGATGTGGATCAAAATTTCAGAACCACTGACTTGACTTGTTAATTAACTCCCTCACTTTTCATGAGCTTTCATTTCTTTGCATTCTCCTTACTCTATTTTCATTCAATTGCATGATGGTATTTAAGAGCTCCCCAAGCCTTTCATTTCTTATGTGAATTATTTTCAATTCTCTCTCTTTTCTACCAGAGGTATTTCAATTCTCTTGTAACACAAAACTAGCAATTAAAATGTGTTTCTTATCTTTCAGACTTGGTGTCCAAGTGTGAGGCCAAGAAGTTATCTCCAAAAAGAAACATTTATGAGACAGAATCATCCCAATGGGCTATCATGGAACCATTTAAAAGCCATAGTCCTGAGAAATCCATTTTCAGAGATATTTGGGCATGCGAAAGTCAGTTTGAGAGACAACAGGGAAAGCAGAAGGGCTATTTCAGGCAGTTTATTATCAACCATGAACACATGCCCATTTTTAGCCAACATATTTTGTTCACTCAGGAATTTTATAATAGACAGAAAATCTTTGAATGTAAAGAATGTAGAAAAAACTTCAGTTACAATTTATTCTTTAGTCATCACAAAACTCATTCTAAAGAAAAACTTTCTGAATGTAAGGTATGTGCAGAAACTGTTGATACATCATACCTTACTAAACAACAGAGAATTCAAAACAGTAACAAGTGCAATGAATGTTGGAAGGCCTTTATTCATTGCTCACAACTTAAACAACATTTGAGAATTCATAAAGGTGAAAAACACTATGAATGTAAAGAATGTGGCAAGGCCTTTTATTATGGCTCAGAACTTATTCTACATCAGAGAATTCACACTGGTGAGAAACCTTATGAATGTAAGGAATGTGGGAAGGCATTTAGGCAGCGATCACAGCTTACTCAACATCAGAGACTTCATACTGGTGAAAAACCCTATGAATGTAAGCAATGTGGGAAGGCTTTTATTCGTGGCTTTCAACTTACTGAACATCTGCGGCTCCATACTGGTGAGAAACCCTATGAATGTAAAGAATGTGGAAAGACTTTCAGACATCGATCACACCTTACAATACACCAGAGAATTCACACTGGTGAGAAACCCTATGAATGTAGAGAATGTGGAAAGGCCTTTAGCTATCACTCAAGCTTCTCTCACCATCAGAAAATTCATTCCGGCAAAAAACCTTATGAATGTAGTGAATGTGGGAAGGCCTTTTGTGATGGCTTACAACTTACTGTACATCGGAGGATTCATACTGGTGAGAAACCCTATGAGTGTAAGGAATGTGGGAAGGCTTTTAGGCAGTGCTCACACCTCAAAAGACATCAGAGAATTCACACTGGTGAGAAACCTCATGAATGTATATGTGGTAAGGCCTTTAGACTTCATTCACACCTTATTCAACATCAGAGAATTCATACTGGTGAGAAGCCGTTTGAATGTAAGGAATGTGGAAAGACCTTTAGCTATCATTCAAGCTTCTCACACCATCAGAGAATTCATTCTGGGAAGAAACCATATGAATGTGGGAAGGCCATTAACCATGGCTTACAATTTAATGTACACCAGACACTTCATACTGTTGAGACTTCAGTAAGTTTTCCTCTCTCCCCATCCTAAGTCTAGTATCATGAAATTATTTTTGGGGATATACTTTTTTCTTCTTTAAGGAAATGTTGGTAAAATACTGGGTTTCATTAGTATTGATTTATTTTAGTAATCTTTGAACTCTTTTTTTTTCAAGTGGGAAAATGGAAAAGTTATTAAAAGGAAAAAATTGCTCTGGTATCAGTGCTATTTCTGAATTATTGTAATGATCAATACTGGAAATAAATTTTATAAAACTATTTGTTTTCACTGAAACCAGTGAAGTGGGGCAGAAATAAAATGAAAACAATTTCTTCCCCTTCCACAAATCTCTGAAATAACCAATATGTATGTGTGTTGCTTCTTTCTTTGTGCTCGAACATATCTGCACATATGAAGGGTTTATTGGATGTCTGTGAAAGGATTTACCCCCTATAGTGACATATTTCTTGGCATTTTGCCCTTTACACTTAAATAATCATGGACATTTTCCCAGGCCAATACTGTAGATCTGACTCATTCTTTCTAAAGTTTCAGAATATTTCTACTATGGGATGTATGCCAGTATTTTGAGCCATTCCCTACTGTAGACATTCAAATTGTTTCTACTTCTTTTTCACCAGAAATGATCGTGCAATAAACATTCTTAGATTGTCATTCTTATGTTTCTATTGGCAGATTCCCAACCATGAAAGTGTGTGTCTGTTCTGTTGTTACATTAATTTTGTAGTTTAAAAAAATGGGAAATAAAAGCAGATACTATAAAAGTTCAAAAGTTACCCAAAATAACGTGAAAATAAAATCTTCCCTAATATCTAGTCCTATAACCATCTGCTTTCCCTACACAGGGGTAGCTATAGCTGTCACTTCTTTTGTATTCTTCCAGGAATTAAATTTTAAAAATTCTTTGGACAAAAGTGGATTAATCATAGTCCATGATTCATGATGTTCTCATCAGTCCACATTTTAGCCTACTTTTATTTAATTTTAATGTATTAGAAGGATTTATAAATACTGTACCAACTATTTACTGCCTTTCTGCTCCAAATTCTTCATTGCCTGCTCTGCAATATTGGAACTCTTCTCTCTTGTTTATAACATTATTTATTTTAGTCCTATCTTTTTTGTTTTTGTTTTTTTGCGATATGCGGGCCTCTCATTGTTGTGGCCTCTCCCGTTGCGGAGCACAGGCTCAGTGGCCAAGGCTCATGGGCCCAGCTGCTCCGCAGCATGTGGGATCTTCCCGGACCTGGGCACGAACCCGTGTCCCCTGCATCAGCAGGCGGACACTCAACCACTGCGCCACCAGGGAAGCCCTATCTTTCTTTTTTTACTTGATTAGACTAGCTAAAAGTTTTTCAACTTCATCTTTTCAAAGGACCAACTCAGTTTTATTGATCTTTTCTATTGTCTTTCTAGTCTTTATTTCATTTATATCTGCTCTAATGTTATCTTTTTTCCACCTGCAGATTTTGGCCTTAATTCTTCTTTTTTCTAGTTTCTTAAGGCATAAAGTTAGGTAGTTTACTTAAGATCTTTCTTTTTTTAAAAAAAATATAGGCTTTTATCTCTATAAACTTCCCTCTTGAAACTGCATTTGCTTTAGCCCATCTGCTTTTGTATGTTTTGCTTCTATTTTCATTTTTCTCAAGATACTTTTTGATTTCCCTTTTGATTTCTGATCCATTGCTTGTTAAAGAGTGTGTTTAATTTTCATGTATTTGTGAATTTTCCCATTTTCCTCCTGTTAATGATTTTTATTTTCATAATATTGTGGTCAAAAGGATACTTGATATGATTTCAGTCTTCTTAAATGTGTTAAGACTTGTGCCATAACATATGATCTATCCTGGAGAATGTTCCGTGTGTGCTTGAGAAAAAATATGTATTCTGCTGCTGTTGGATGGAATGTTCTATGTATGTCCATTATATTCATTTGTTCTGTAGTGTTTTCTGTCTGGATGAACTATCCATTGTTGATAATGGGGTATTGAAGTTCCCTACTAATACTGTATTACTGTTTATTTCTCCGTTCAGTTCTGTTAATATTTGCCTTATATATTTAAGTGCCCAGATGTTTGGTGCGTATATATTTACAATTATTATATATTCTTTATGAATTGGCCACATCATAATAGTGACCTTTTTTATTCTCTGTGACAGATTCCAACTGAAAGCCTATTTTGTCTGATATAAGTATAGCCATCCCAGCTTTCTTTTGGTTACCATTGAATGGGATATCTCTTTCCATCCTTTCACTTTCAGCCTATGGATATCCTTAAAGTGAGTCTCTTGTTGGTAGCAAAAAGTTGGATCTGTTTTTCAATCCCTTCAACTATGCTGCTGATTGATTCAGCTACTCTACTATCTTTGGATTAAATAATTTACTTCATTTACATTTAAAGTAATTATTGATAGGTAAGGTCTTTTTATTGACATTTTGTTCATTGTTTTCGTTTTTTGTGTGTCCCTTTTTTCCTTTCTTTGCTATCTTCCTTTATAATTTGATGCTTTTTTTTTTATAGTGCAATGCACTGATCCCTTTCTCTATCTTTTGTTTATCTACTGCATATTTTTTCTTTGTGGTTACCATGAGGCTTACATAAAAAACATCTTATAACTTTATTTCAAGCTAAGAACTTAACTTTGACCACATACAAAATCTCTATGATTTAACTTCTCCTCCCCCCACCTTTAATGTTAATTGATATCACACTTTACATCACTTTATTTCGTGTATCAATAATAAATTGTAGTTACAGTTATTTTTAATACTTTGTCCTTTAATCTTTATACTAAAGTTCTGTTATTAACATGCCACTGTACTATAGTAGAGTATTCTGACTTTACTTTTACCACTGAGTTTTATACTTTAATATGTTTTCAAGTTGTTACTTAGCATCTTTTCATTTCAACTTGAAGAACTCCCTTTAGCATTTCTAGTAAGGTGGTCCAGTGGTAAACTCCCTCCTTGTTTGTGTGGAAATTTTTTTTCCCTCTTCATTTCTGAATGACAGCTTTGCCAGGTGTAGTTTTCTTGGTTGGCAGTGTCTTTCCTTTCAGCACTTTGAAGATATCATGCCACTCTCTCTTGGCTTGCAAGGTTTCTGCCGAGACATCTGTTAATAGTCTTAGGGGGGTGCCCTTGGATGTGACAATTTGCTTTTCTATTGCTGCTTTCAAAATTCTCTTTGTCTTCAACTCTTGACACTTTGATTATAATTATTTGGAGTTACTTAGGCTGCATGGATATGGGTGTTCATTTCCCTCTCCAGATTAGGGACATTTTCTATTCATATATATATATGTATATATATATTTTTTATTTTGTGGTACGCAGGCCTCTCACTGTTGTGGCCTCTCTCGTTGCAGAGCACAGGCTCCAGACGCGCAGGCTCAGTGGCCATGGCTCACGGGCCCAGCCACTCTGCGGCATGTGGGATCTTCCCGGACCAGGGCACGAACCTGTGTCGCCTGCATCGGCAGGCGGACTCTCAACCACTGTGCCACCAGGGAAGCCCTATTTTTATATTTTAAATAACCTGTCTTCCCCTTTTTCTTTCTCTGCCTCTTCTGGGATTCCCATAATGCATATATTGATACCTTGCTGGTACCCCATAATTCCTGTAGACTTTCTTTTGGTCCTCTGACTGGGTGATTTCAAATGAACAGCAAGTCTTAGAACTCACTGATTCTTTCTTCTGCTTGATCAAGTCTCCTACTGAAGTGCTGGCATTTTTAAATGTAGTCATTGTGTTTTTCAAGTACAGAATTTCTATTTGGTTCTTTTTTATGGTTTCTAGCTCTTTGTCCTGTCTCATTTTGTTCTTGTATTGTTTTCCTGATTTTGTTTTGCTTTCTTGTAGCTCACTGAGCTTTAAGATGATTATTTTGAATTCTCTGTCAGGCAGTTTACAGATCTCTATTTCTTTTGGGTTGGTTACTCATGCTTTATTTTGTTACTATGGTGGTGTCATGTTTCCCTGCTTATTTGTGGTCCTTTTGGATTTGCAAACTAGCTGCCCAGAGATTCTGGGTGGATCAGCTGGTGAGGTCCATGGGAAGGCTTGCTTCTGGAGCCTTCAGGCAGGCTGACCTGGTGCTTGGTTCAGCAGGTGAGTGGGCCTGGTACCTGAGACTGCAGGGACAGGCCTGAAACTTGGATCCATGGTGTCTGATCTGGTGCCAGGAGCCACTGGGCTGGGCTTGTTAATTGGGTCTGTGCAGTAGACCTGCCTGTGCCTGTAGGGGCTGGCCTGGTGCTGGGGTTCACTGGACTTGGCCTGGTGACTGGATCTGTGGAGATAGGCCTGAAGCCTGGGTCCACAGGAGCTGACCTGTTCCTGTGACAGTGACAGGCCTTGAACCTTAATCTGTGGGAGCTGACCTTGGTGGAGTGGGCCTGTTGTCTGGATCCATCGGGGTACGCCTGGTCTGAGGCCGTAGGGGCAATCCTCATACTGGAGCCTATTGGGGCAGGCCTGGAGCCTAGGTCCATTGGTGCCAATATGGTACCTGGGTCTGTAGGGCCAGTGTGGTGATCGGTTGGGCAGCATGGAGCCTGCTGTCTGCGTCCACAGGGGCAGGCCTGGATTCTGAGTCATGGTTTACCTGTAGGGGCTTTCCTGGAGCCTGGATTCACTGGAGGAGGCTGGTGCTTGGGTCTATGGCAAAGTTGGATGCTCACTTCACTCTTCTTCCCCCAATGCAAAGGGTGTATCTCTCCACACTTCATTGCACAGGCTTGGGGAAAGGGTAATGCAGGTAGTGTGAAATTGTCCTTTTTATCCTCTTCAACGTATCTTTCATTTCTGTGCTCCACTCAAGTGCTGTATTAGATCATGTGAAGGCATTTT